AAAGAAAAGTGAAATTTTTTTATGAAAAAAATAATTATAGTAAAAATGGTTTTTTAGTGTCGATAAGCAAGAAATCAAAAAGGGGCATTCCGAGAATCGAACTCGGGACCTCTCGCACCCAAAGCGAGAATCATACCACTAGACCAAATGCCCGATTTGCTTATGCTTAATCTTGTTATTAGTTATGATAGTGTTGACTTTTATGATGATACAGATCTAGCTGTAGGGCTTTGGTTAGATTTAAGCTGCACATGCATCCTTTTAAAAAAGAAAAATAATGCAGCCATAATTTGCCAAGTATTTACTGTTTAGTCATGCGATTTTTTTTTTTTCTTCAGCTTTGTTATCAGCTTGTCCGTGGAGCTGTCCGGCAAACTTGTAGCTTTAGACCTACGTGGAATACTTACTTCATAAGTGAAGTTCAACTGGCAGGTATTTATTAATTCGTCACATTTTAGAATATGCATCTTGGTTTGAACTATGTGGAATGATTACTACATTTCTCTTTAGTCATGCTAAATGCTAACACTTATTCAAATTTAAATTCATCGGATCTTAGAGTATATAAAGACAGAATCAAGTGCGAACGAATGAAGAGTGAGACAACTCGGGTCTTTGCTAGTAATAATTATTAAAGCTATGCAAGGATCATTTTTCAGAGAAGCCTGTTAGTTTTGATTGTCTAGTGAGTGTGAGTGGGTTTAGTGTAGTTCTTTTAGTTGAAGCAAAATGACAGTGAAAGTTATATCTGTAGGTGATGGGAGCTATTTGAGTTTTACCAACTATTTTGAAGACAAGGGTCAAAAAAATATTTTTTTTTTGGCAGTTTTTGTTATATTGTGATATATGCTTTTAAATGCTGTAGTTACTTATGATGTATATGGTATTGAGGACAGGTAAACCTCTGTGAAGTCTTTTGTTATATTGAGTTGGCATTCTTATTTCCACTGACGATATGATAGTCATTGATAGATAAACATACTAAAATAAAAAATTTAAAAAAGAATTTATTGGGGCATCCCGAGTTATAAAAAAGAAAAAAAGAATTTATTGGGGCATTCCGAGAATCGAACTCGGGACCTCTCGCACCCAAAGCGAGAATCATACCACTAGACCAAATGCCCAATTTGCTTATGCTTAATCTTGTGATTAGTTATGATAGTGTTGACTTTTATGATGATACAGATCTAGCTGTAGGGCTTTGGTCAGAATTAAGCTGCACATGCTCTCCTTTGATCCTTTTGAAAATGAAAAATAATGCAGCCATAATTTGCCAAGTATTTACTTTTCAGTAATGCTATTTTTTTCTTCAGTTTTGTTATCAGCTTGTCTGTGGAGCCGTCTGGCAAACATGTAGCCTTAGACCTACATTGAATAATTACTTCATAAGTGAAGAAGTGAACATATTATTCAACTGGCAGGTATTTATTAAGTCGACACATTTTAGAATATGCATCTTGGTTTGAAATATGTGGAATAATTACTTCATGCCTCTTTAGTCATGCTAATTGCTAACTCTTATTCAAATTTATATTCAATCTTTATGCATCTTGGTTTGAACCAAGTATTGTCTATTTGATATTCATGATCAGAATATTTATATTCAATCTTTATGCATCTTGTTTAGAATATTTAAAGACAGAATCAAGTGCGAATAAACGTAGAGTGAGACAGCTCAGATCTTTACGGCTAGTAATAATTATTAAAGCTATGCAAGGTTTATTTTTTTCAGAGAAGTCTGTTACTTCTGATGCTGCTATATATTTGAGTTCTATCATCTATTTTGAAGTTAGGGGTGAAAAAAATAATTTTTTTGGCAGTATTTGCTATCTTGTGATATATGTTTTCAATGCTGTATTTACTTATTATGTATATGGTATTGAGGACAGGTAAAGCTCTGTTAAGTCTTTTGTTATATTGAGTTTGCATTTTCATTTCCACTGATGATATGATTGATAAACATACTAAAAAAAAAAGAACTTATTGGGGCATTCCGAGAATCGAACTCGGGACCTCTCGCACCCAAAGCGAGAATCATACCACTAGACCAAATGCCCAATTTTGTTAAGATTACTATGATTAGTTATCTTGACTTTTGTGAAGGTACACATCTCATTAGATTGCTTTGGTCAAAATTGAAGCTGCACTTACTCTTCTTTGAACATTTGAAAAAAAAAGGTAATCATGCAGCAATAATTTGCTAAGTGTTTTCTCTTGCTATCATTTTTTCAGCTTCGTAATCAGCTCGTACACGGAATTGTCTGGCAAACATGGCGCTTTCAAACTACGTGGAGTGATTTTTTTGCAATTCAAGAGGTAAATAGATCATTCAACTCGAAGATATATATTAAACTGTCACATTCTTATGGGAGTTCTTCTATCATCTTTAGCGTTTTAATTATGTACCTGCCATGTTAGTTTTTAAACATTAAAAAACTGAAATCCCTTGATTGATAAGATATCAAGAATTGATCATTTTTCACTTATTTATGCATGTCTTTCATTTTTGGATTTATAAACAACCTAATTTAGATTTAGTGATTGCTTCCATGTATTCTTCTTTTCTATTTTCGTTTACATAGCTTAAAGTTAACCCTGATTTGTGTTGTCTTACAATATCAGCTATATGCTAACTGCCAACTCTTATTCAAACTTATGTTCATTATAAATGCATCTTGGTTTGAACTACACAGTGCCTATTGATATTCATGGTCGGATTTTAGAATATAGAATCGAGTACGAATGAGTGGAATGAGTGGAGAGTGAAAGCTTAGATCTTTCTGCAGATTAGGTAAAACCTGCAGTAAAAATATTTGAGAAAGAAAATTCCAGTAGAAATGGACTTAGGTGGGCAGTAAACAAGAAATCAAAAGGGGGCATTCCGAGAATCGAACTCGGGACCTCTCGCACCCAAAGCGAGAATCATACCACTAGACCAAATGCCCAATTTGCTTAAGCTAATCTGTGACTAATTATGACAATGTTGACTTTTCAGATGATACACAGATCTAGTTTTGGTTCTTTGGTCAAACTTAAGCTGCACATCCTCTCCTTTGGTCCTTTGAAAAAGTAAGAGAGTATTTATAATAATGCAGTCATAATTTGCTGGTATTTAGTATGCTATTTTTTCTCCAGCTTTGTTATCAGCTACTCTATGGAGTTGTCCTGCAAACATGTCTCTCTACATTTATGTGGAATAATTTACTTCATAAATGAAGTGAATGTGTTATTCAACTTGCTGGTATTGTTTATTAAATTGTCATATTCGCTTGTTCAAATTTATATTCATTCTATGTGTCTTGGTCTGGACGGAATAATGTTTATTGTAGCTGCTAGATATTGTTCGATTGTTTTCGAACAAGTTTCTGAGTCGGGTTCATTTCTTAAATGATGGTTTGTCGACGTTCCTAATAATTCAAAGTCAGAGTGAGCTTTTCTTACATAAATTTCATATGTGGGTGAAAGGAACTATTCGCATTGATAGTTTCCAATTTATGAAATAATATTGGAGTTTTTATCATGTTTTTCGAAGATAATGATAAATGATTATTACTCATTGGCAGTATTTAATGCTGCATTTGCTTATTATGTATACGGAGAATTCAATTTTGTTCCTATGTAGTCTTGTTACATTGAGTTGCTTTCTTATTTCTGTTGTAGATATTTATAGATAAGCACAGATTTGAGAGGGAAAAAAAATTAAAAAAATTATTGGGGCATTCCGAGAATCGAACTCGGGACCTCTCGCACCCAAAGCGAGAATCATACCACTAGACCAAATGCCCAGTTGGTTTAGTGACTGTTAACGTGTAAAGGATTATCTGCTATGAAACATAATGGAAGCAGAGAAAAAATAGAAAATTTGGGGGCATTCCGAGAATCGAACTCGGGACCTCTCGCACCCGAAGCGAGAATCATACCACTAGACCAAATGCCCGGCTGTTCAGTTGTCTGTTGGACTTTTACGACTGGAACGTTATAGTCAATATTGATGAAACAACTATCAATAAATTTTCTATAAAATGAGGCCACTCAATAATTTATTTTAGCAATTATTAGTATATTAAAGTGATGAATATTGAAAACGATAAAATAAAAATTCATTTATTACAAGGAAAAAGCTAAATTTGAAGAACTTTTTTTAAAAGAAATAAATGGAATTATTAAAGTACCTAATAACTACTCTTTCCATATCTTTGTCAAAATTCAATCTTTACTTTAATTTAGTTTTTCTGGAACAATTTTTATCCCCACATGTTTTAGTAATTTTCTTATAAATGTATTTTCACCCATACAGTTTTGCTATGCAGCCAACGGATGACACGATTTATGGAGTCGTACACACTTATTCACAAATAGTAAATTGACACATGTCTTGCAATAAATACACTTTGGACATGTGTCAATAAATTAGGTGATAGATAAATCCACAAGAAAAACTCCATAAAATTTCTGTTCACCCAATATGAAAATGAAAGATGCAAATCTCACTTAGAACCTCATCCTTACACACCCAAGTAACTAAACATCCATTTTGTATGGATTCATATCCATCTAATTTATTGCCATTTGGCACAATTTTTTTAAACTACAACTTAATAGCATTTGAGATGCTGTTGTATAACAATCAGTCACTCAATTTATTAAGAAGAAAAGAAAGATAAAAGATAAAATTTGCCTATTAACAAACAACATGCCTCAATATTTTTGTCTTTGGTCCCAAAAATTGAAACAACAATTACCCCAAACAATTTTCTCCTGCAGATCTCTCCAGTTCTCTTTAGAACTTAGTACAAAAACTTTTTCTGTAAACAAGCAACAGTTTTTTATAATGGATTAAAATACACCTATACCAATACCATGAAGAAGAAGACTCGCACTTCAGCCTATAAATTATATCCTAAACATATCTTATTTACATTATTCATAGCAAACTCCTTAAACGACGTAGGTTTCAATGGAGGATGAACTCACAAGCGGCTGGACGCTTTAAAACTCCATCATGCACGAATCATCTGTACATTCTGTGACAGAATTAAATCGATTTATGTTTTTTAGAAAATAAAAAATAAATTAAATAAATTATAAATGATTCAGAAATGGAACCAAAGGGAGTTCCAATAATAAGCATCTCACCGTAATCGAACTATTCCTTTCTTTCAGAGTCTTTAGAGCTGCCTCTGCAAATGCCTGAGCAGCCTCAGCATCAGCTTCAGCCACCTCAGCTTCCCGAGCCGCCTCTTCAGCTTCAGCCATGGCAGCTTCAGCTTCAGCCACGGCTTGAGCAGCTGCTTCTGCAGCCTCTTGTTGGGTCATGTTGCTCATCTTGGCCAGCTCCAAGTCGATCTGAGATTTTGATAGCCGATTGACATCCAAGTGGTCAACTCTTTGGGGAATTGAAGGCACTTTTCGTCTCTCGGGCCGAGACGAAGGCGCGGCTATTCTGTACTTCCGTTTCAGCTGTTAGAAAATATAATGATTGAATTAATTGACGAAAGTTTCTAGCAGATAAATTAAAAGAAATAAAAAGGGCAGCAATTAATTTTTTTCTGGAGAAATTAGAAATATGGAAAACCTTAATAAGTTTCCCCATAGCTGTAAAATGTTTTAGCTTTGCAGACAATATCCTCTTAAAGTTTGGAGGCGCCCAGTATTGATCCTGCACGCAGGAAGATAAATTATTAGATTAGAAGGAAAGCTTCAGCAAACTCAATTACCAGAGACACGACATATTTCCTAGATTGAGTGCAAGGGGTTTTTCTTTACCTAGAAACTTCACTAATCATAACTAGCAAAAATTGAATAATGAGCAATTTCTTTGGATTGTCTTTACGCTGAATAAGCAAGTTCAATTTTTATCTGACGAACTTACCGTTTTCGTTTGAATAAAATAATACGATAAACCACAACCTACTTCATAGTCACAGCTAGCAAAAAATTAAAGAAAATCGTAACTTTTTGTTTCATTATAAAAAACAGCCTCTTGCTATTTCAGCCGATTTCTTATATGACACTGATGTTTGTATAAATGGGAATCTTGTAGGGTTGGTATCTAACATAATAACTGCAACTAAAGTGATTAAACCTATGTGTGTCTTACAGCATATAGCATATCATGTATATGTTCATATTCCCTGTTCATACCAAACCTACACGTCGAGGAAGGACGATGAAAGCAGATACACACATAAAAAAATAAACTATGGCACTACATCAAGCAAACAAAGAAAAAGGAGGATTATATCCAAATGATATGAATTTAACCAGAAGAAAAACCAACCTCTATGTATGCAGCTATGGATGTCTTGTTAGAACCTCCGGGCTCCCTCAAATTTCTAATAGCCTCCAATATGAGATTATCCAGCCTATTACAAAGTAAACAAATAGACCCACTGTCATAGATCCACGGGATTTAAGAATAAAAAAAAATCCCATCTTAAGATGACATCAACTGAACAACAAAGAATTTCGTCTAAATCAAAAGCATAATACATATATCAACATGAGAATATACAAGTAGGGAAAAGTTAACTGCTGCACACCATCAGAAACTTTCTAATTAACACATGCAAGTCGGGCTTTTAAGTCATTCTATTCTATAAGAAACACAATCACAAAAGAAAAAAAATATCAAAGAAAACTCACCAAGAAAATACTTACTTTGTTCATCATGAGTTCAATTAACATAATACTTTTAAAGAAATGAATAATAAAATGATAATATACAAATGAACCATATCTTGTAATTTTCAAATGAAATGGAGGTCAAAAGTTGCAAAATACAGGATCTACCTCATGACGGATCTCTTAGGCGCATCATTTGGTGAAGAACCTCCCGAGGTATCATTAGCCCTGGCATCAACTACATCATCACCACTTTGACTTAAAGATGACCGAGGCATAGAGCTCGCTCTATGTTTGGGTGCCGGATGGATCCTTTTCAGTGCCAGCCTGGCCTTCTCCCGTGAGCCACACCCGTTTGACATCACACCCATATTCCTCCACTTGTCCTAAACCAACACAACTATTATCAAAATCAGAAAGAACTAAATTTCTATAACTACATGATCAAGTGCTTTCAAGTTACAGCATTGCAAAATCACCAAGAAATGGACTAAAAAAATTTGTACCTTCAGATCAACGTTGGATCGTAGATATAAAACTCCACTGAATTGTGAGTCCTTGAGTATCGTGCGCCATTTCCCGGGCCCGTGTTTAAGGACACCGGCTCTCAGAGCTGCTTCCTCTTCTGGAGTCCACTTCTGTTTAGGTGCTCCCATTAGCAATTAAGCGCTTAACGAATTCTCAAGAAGAATCCACTGTACACAGAACAAAAAAAAATGAGGAAAATAATCAAACCCCCCCCAACAAACAGCTGAGCATTTCCAATCCCAATCAAACATTTTCTTGAAGAATCGCATGAGCTAATTATTCGAAAAAAGCAAACAGAGGATTAAAGACAAGCAAAACAGTCTCTTGGGCTTTAAAAAAAAAAAAACTGCAATTTAACTGTGTCCCCCAAATCCAAACCAACTGAATTTACACAATCTCTGTACAAATTACCGAGCTTCATCAAAACCAAATGAACCAACAAAATCCTTTGTATGAGGTTCAGCAAAACAAATCTAATCCCTGAAAAATTATCAAACATCCATCCACGATCAAAGAGTTGTACCAATTCCGGATCAGAAACGATGAATTGGGCGCCGGAACCCTAACCCTAATTCCGCAGTCGCTGCAAGTTTTCATAGCAATTTCAGAGGATACAAATGAATTACCTGAAAATTTCGAAAAATTTGAAGTTTGTGTTGAGGTGTGCGTGGATCTGCTTGACCTTTTAGAAACACCCTTATGTTCTAATCTTTATTTTTATGCATTGTGTGTACGTATGCGGTATGCCGTGTGTATATGAATCTACCGGTATGCTTACGTGGAAAATAAACTTTTTATATTAAAATTAAAAAATTAAGTGTTTTCGACACTCTTTCTAATGCGCTTGAATGAATTTTAATTTATTTTTAATAAAAAAATAAGGATATAGTATATTAGATAAATTGTCATTTAGTAAGATTTGATTTAATTTAACATTCATATCACATACATAAATAAATAAATATTTACATTATTGTAAAAATTAAATTATATATCAATATTAATTGAAAAATAATAAAATTATTTATTAATAAAATATAATTATTTACCAAAATCCATCATATAAGTATGACTTAGAAAAATATTATAATACTACCAACTGATAGTGTTATTTAAATATAAATAAGTTCATACGTTTTAATAATTAACTTAATTCAGCTCTTATCATAAAGATAAATATAATTATTTATTTTATATATGCAACTTAGATGTAAATACGAAGTTCGTTCAGAAATAATTAATTTGATATATCAATATGATAGGTCGATCACAAATATAAAGGTTATTGACTTTTAAAATTTATTTATAAATCATATATCTTCAAAAAAAATTATTTATATATTTAGTTAGTCATATTAATTTGATATATCAATATGATAAATCATATATCTTACAAATAGAAAAGTTATTGACCTTTAAATTTTATTTATATATTTAGTTAGTCAAAAAATTATAATTATGCCAAATATCTCTCCAATTAAACACACTCATACATCTATTGTTACATTTAATTGTATATATAGGTGAAAGTCATTTAACACTCATTCTAGGAGAATAAGTGCGTAGAGCGCTACCGATAAAAATCTCGCCCAATTAATCTCCGTCGTCCTTCGTCGCATCTCTACCAATTTAGGCCTCTCTCGGTGGTCATTCGGGTTCGTCGGTGGACGGCCCGCCGCGCCTTCTCCATGGGCTGGGCAATGGTTCTCTCACCGGTCGTCTTACACCAAAGGAGATGGGCTAGGGTTTCGATGTTTTGCGCGATGGTCGGTGTTCTGAGGTGTCGTGGCTCGGTGGGGTGCGGTGCCTGCAAGTGGAAGGAGCTTGGGTCGCTCGTGTCGGCTCTGGTCGGAGTGGATCCTCTCGCCGAGCTTGGAGGTCAGGCTCGTCTCGTTTCTTCTTTTTCTATCAGGGTTGATTTTCGATCTCTGGTTGCTAAGGGGGTCTCGAGCTGGGGTTAGTCCTTGCAGGCTGGATTGGAATATGCCGCTTGTTCGGACTGTGTCGGCACGAATTGGCTTGTCGCCATTCGTTCCCCTTCCTTTCTTGTTTTCTGATTCTGAGTCCGAGGAAGGCCAACCGCTATCGGGATCGGCTAGTGGTGTTAGGCGGTTTCAGGACGGTATCTGATTTGGCTAGTGGTGTTAGCCGATTGGGGGCGATTGTGGTTTATAGCGGCCGGAGAGCGGGTTGGCTTTCTAGGTTTGGTTTGAAGGTAGGAGCTTCGTCTTTGCTAGGCATTAGGCAGTGGTGGGAGCAGTTCCTATGCTTAGGATTTCTCCCCGAGTCGGCCTTGTCTACTGACTACTTCATTTGTCCTTTCTGAGGGAGGGCTGTGTGTTTTGATTAGAGTTATTATTATATGTGTTTGTTGAGTTTGTTTAGTCTTGTATTTTTTGTTTGGGCCGTTGACCTCTGTGTACCCAAGTGTCATCTTATTACTCTGTTGGGGTCCGACACTCGGGTATTACCCTGTTGAGGTCTTTGTGTTGCTTATTTTGTGTTTTTTAGTGTTCTTGTGTATTATCCGGTTGGGGTCGGTTCTAGCCGGTCTTTTGACATGTCCTCCCACTTTTTCAACTGTTGGCAGATTGTATTCAACTGGTGGTTGCTCTTTGCACATTTGTGCGTTTTATATAATATCTCTATCGTTCCAGGAAAAAAAAATCATTCTAATACCAATTATTACTATTTACTTGAATTTTTTATTAAAATTTTTAAAGAACACAATCAATTTCCATATCTCTATTTTATTGAAAAATCAAAATTGGAAGCAACACAACAAAATTGCAATACATCCGAGATGAAATTGCCGTTCATAGAACACTCTTTATTTCCACCAAAAAGCCCAATCAGATACATTAGGGGTGTGATTAAATATGGATTCACCTAAAAATATCAATTATTATTAATTCAATCATTTTTTTTTAAGTCAGCGTCAATATTTTTAATATTATCAATATAATTAAATAAAATCAATAAACTTTTCTTATAAATCATATCAACTATAATGTATTATTAATGAAATCAAGTTCATATGCAATCATAACCAAGGCAAATTTCACTATTAACTAACTATACCATCAAATTAACTACGATTAACGTAAAAACGAATCAAAACCAAATCAATTCATATGCAATCATAACCAAGGCAACTAGCTATTATAGAAAATAAATTTACGATAGTATCCTTATAAACAATATCCAAACATTGTGGTAGGGTTGGAAGTTCCCTCTCTCTCTCTCTTTGGCAATCAGATCATGTTTTCCTCTTAGATTTCTCTCGTCGATTCATGTGTCTTCCCTCGGTGGGGCTCTCTGAGTTGTTCGGCGGCGACAGTAGCGCTGGGCCTCACGGCTCGATTCCTGGAATATCGCCGACTGGAGGAGGTTTTCTTCGCTGGTGGAGGCGGAGCCGGACCCTTGAGTAGCTTTTCGTCGTGGATCGGGTGCTAAGAAGGGGTGGCGGGTGGCCTCTGATGGGGCGTGCCTTCGGCGGTTTAGGTTGCAGTTTTGTTTTTCCCCCTATCTAACTCTCCTGCTTCTCTTAGGATACTCGGTCTAGTACGGGTTGAAGGGTCTGCCTTTTTCCACTGTGTTCCTCTCCTTCCTGGTGTTAGGCGGAGGGGTCAGCAGGCGAGGCCAGACCGAGGTTCGGGTTTCGGTGGTTTAGGCTTGGTTATTAGTGTTATATTTTGGTTAAAATAAAAATGTAAGATGAATTATATGTTACATGTAAAGGTGTAAGAGAACTTATATGTTACATGCATGAGTGAAATTGAGTTATACAATGCATGGATGTAAAATAAGTTTCAATACAATATGCATGTAGGATAAGTTTCAAGACAATGTATGTGGATAAGTTTCACTTCACATTAAACTTAAAACTTGTGAGTTTAATTAATCTTGAATTAATTAAACAAGTTGCAACTTAATGAGATTAATGTATCTCATTAAACAAGATGAGTTGTTAAATTAAGTTCTTACACTTGTAACCACACATGGCAAATGACACCTATATATACTTCTCTTTTTTTGTGAAATCTTATGAAGAAAAGTGAGAAGGCTTGATCAATCCCAAAACTCCTTTCCATTTTGTGTGTTCCCTAAAGATTTCAAAGAGAGGGAGGAAATAGAGTTTTTGGACAAAGTTCCAAAGAACTTGTTTGAGCCTTCTATTACATATTATTGTTCTTGAGAGAAATATTAAATAAAATAAAAAGTGGGTTTTGTTGAGTGTCTCTTTCTCCATTGTTATCTATTATTTCCAACAATCAAAAACTCTATTTGCATGGAGACGGAGACGATCAAAATCATGAACCAAGACCTTGTGAAATTGGATAGGTTTGATGGCTCAAATTTCACAAGGTGGCAAGACAAGGTGAAATTTCTTCTCACGGCCCTCAAGATATTTTATATCCTCGACCCTACCTTGGCTCCTCTACCAAAGCCAAATGAAAACGATAATCTCGAAACTGTGGCTGCATGGAAGAAAAGAGAGGAAGACGAGTTAATATGCCGTGGTCATTCTTTAAATGCCTTGTCTGATAGGCTGTATGATCTCTACACCAATAATTCGGCTAAAGAAATTTGGGAGGCTTTAGAAAATAAATATAAAACCGAAGAAGAAGGTACTAAAAAATTTCTAATCTCCCAATATTTTGATTTCAAAATTTTTGATGAAAAGCCTTTATT